AATCATTATACACCTGATGTCTTGGAGCAGAGTTGTAGTCGTGCCTCAAGACACAGCGCTGCAAGTGCATGGCACTGGGAGCTTTATACTTAAGACTTTTTAAAATAAAACAAAAGCGTGTTTCAAGATGGAGAACCTCTGGGACTGAGTTCTTAGGCCTGCCTCCCAGCTAATCCTGGGGCGGCTGTTTGCAAAACAGCTGCGTGGCAGAAGTGAGGCGAGAATGTCCATTCTGGTTTCTGGGAAGCTGGAACGTCGAGTTCACGTTTGTGCGAACAGCAGTGGGACTGTTGGATGTTCTTCCCATTATCTCAGTTTGATAAAAAGCATTCTTCAGCTCACCAGGGTGCCCTGAAGGCTCAACTGCACTGCTCTGTTTCCAGCTGCGACTCCAGTGCTCTCTGGAAAAGGCCATGTGAGACAATGTGAAAAAAGAAACAAGTAAATGAAAACCTAGGGAACCAGATGAAAATGGGGGGGAGGGGGGGGGATGGGGAAGGCAGCTTAGCTATCAAAATAAGAATGAAGGTGCCCTACCCCAAGTTGAGTAAGAGCCTTGGTGCTGTTAGTGCTCCAAAGGAAGAGCAGCTTGGCAGGAACCAGAAAGCGTGGCAGTTCGTGGTTTCCTGAGAGAAACCGTGAGCATCATGAGAACTGGTACGGAATTGGAAATGGCAGCTGATAGATAATAGTTAATGTCAGCAGGAGTTTCTGCACCCAAATAAATCTTTTAAGAAAAATATGCTGTTTATTTTTGCTGGACTGTAGCATTTATTTTCAGTGGTCCTTCCACTGAAGGACTTTGTAGAGAGGAGTATGACTCATTCTTACTGTTTTTTCTTTATGTACAGATGAACACATATTTAGAAGGAGGGAACTTGATATAGAGGTTATAATTAATACAAGAACTAGTTACAGAGCATTTCCCATTTGATTACTCACAGTAATAATATCTTGGGATATGCTGCTAATCTCCGTGTCTCAGATTCCCACCGAGTATGAAAGTGGGTATTGCTATTGAATCGAAACTGTAGCAAAAGCAACTGTGTGTAGGTATACAGAAGTCACCTCTTGTAATAATTATGGCAAAACTAATGCTGCCTTGGAAGAACGGGCTTCTCTGGAACATCCTTCAGTAAGTAGCCTGCAGCATGAGCTGAATGGTAGCAGTGGTTTCAGTCGGCACATGCCAAGTTCATTTAACATCGCAGCCGCGTGTGTGATGCCACCGAGGCTCGTAACTTCGTTTGGACAGACCCCTATTCTCTGCTCTCCTTTGCAAGTGCTGCAAGTTTGTGTGAAAAAGCAAAACCCCCTGGAGCCTCTTTTGCATATAGCATTGCTGGGATGTGCTTTGCAACTCTCTAGTTCATGAAGAGCTATGTACAGAGCTTTGAGTAACTGCCACCTTCTCTGTTTGCTAAAACGTCACTTTTCAGGTGTCTGCATGTGAAATAACCCTCATTAGCCAGGAGCTGTGTTCGGTGGGTGCTAGAGAATTCCTTGCCGCTCCTCCTGGCTTGGAGAACTCCCTTGGCTGCCTGGCAGGAAGGTGGAGCAAACACTGACGGAGCTTTTAGGAATTTCTGACTAGTCACACCCCAAAATTGCAGCCCGTTTGTGCGTGGGGGAACTTTCCCGGCGTGGAATGCCTTGATCTTTGCTTCCCAGTCTTGTGCTGTGATGGCCAACTGGAGCACTATGCATGTGCGAGCTGCTGCATCTCGGGGAATGCCTGGCAACGTGCTCGTGCAATGGTCCTATAAATGCTGTGCATTTGAAGTAAAAGGTTTCGGTCCTTATGTGATTGGAATGTCATCTGTTTGTTTGTGTGCTTTTTTAATGGCTTTATGTAAGCTTAGCAGAAGCATGCAATTCTTTATGTGCAAATCAAACTATTTTTTTAAATCAATTCAGTGCAAGTTTAAATCTGCAAAAGTCCACAGCTTCTTATGGACAGTTTATGTAGTCAAATTAGTCCCCAACTGATGCATCTTTGACACTGAAATGAGCCTTGAGTCTTATGAATGCTCATATAACCTTTTGTTCTATTTAAAATCTGTTAGTTTAAAACCTCCCTTGAGGTAAATGGGTGCAATTTCTTGTGTGGACAAGTCCCTAAAAGGGAGATGGAATTGAAGCTGGAACAAGTTGGAGCTGTGTTGGTGAGGTGCTGGAGCATCCTGCATGTCCTAAGGGCCAAAGAAGGGAAAAAGAGTTGAGTCGAAGCAAATAAATGCAGGAAATGAAGGAGCATGTCATAGCCAGTTAATAAAAGTAGAAAGTCCACCAAGTAGCTGTTTATTTTTTCCTCAGGAAACATGAATGCTTGCTTAGATACTAGAGGATAGTGGAGGGGAAGAGCATGGTGCAAAGGACACGCTTGACATATTGGTTTTGCGCTCATTTGTCTCTGGACCTTGTTTGATACTTTTAGGCCATTCAGACTTTGTGATAACGCCACTGTCAAATGGCATTAATTTCTAAAACTGTGTCTCCAGAGATGTTCCAAAGGTACAAGTGTGTGGTGTATTTCTCAGATATAAATACTTTTTTTTTTGCCTTTTTCTCCCCCTCTTTATTACAAAAAGCAGTCAGTTAAAGCGGCAAGCTCTGCTCGAAATAATCTTGGTGCTCTGATATTATGAGATCAGCTGTGCTATGTTTAATTTAATTGTAATATTGTGTGGGTTTTTTTTTTCCCTTACGGGGGGATTGATCTCTTCTCCAGAATACCTACTGACAGGACAAGAGGAAATGGCCTCAAGTTGTGCCAAGGGAGGTTCAGGTGTTAGATATAGGGAAAAATTTCTACACAGTAAGAGTAGTCAAGCATTGGAATAGGCTGCCCAGGAAGTGGTGGAGTCACTGTCCCTGGCACTGTTCAAGAAATGTGCAGATGAGGTGCTTAGGGACACGTGTAACAGTATGGTGTTGAGAGGCTTATGGTTGGACTCGGTGATCTTAAAGGTCTTTTCCAACCATAATGATCCTATGAGTCCTATGATAGTAAGCTTATTTTAGTAAAATTCAGGCTATATCTTTGTTTGCCCTCCTTTTGTAGGTGTTGAAACATCTTGCACAAATGTAAGATGATTCTTATTCATACCTTAGGCCTTTCAGAGGTTGACCTTAGGAAGTTCTACCTCCATATGAGGAAGAACTTCTTTCCTGTGAGGGTGACAGAGCCCTGGCACAGACTGCCCAGAGAGGCTGTGGAGTCTCCTTCTCTGCAGATCTTCCAAACCCACCTGGACATCACCCTATGCCATGTGCTCTAGGTGTCCCTGCTGGAGCAGGGGTGCTGGACTAGATGATGTCTAGAGGTCCCTTCCAACCTCAACCATTCTGTGACCTTACTGAGATAGACTCTAAGTCATCAACAGGTCCATTAACAAGTAAGGCATGGCAAAATACCATCCCAGGGAATTTGCTCAAGGATTATAGAATGCTGTTTATCTTGCATTTGTGATGTACTGGGATCTTTATTTTATGACACGCAGTCACTCCACAATTTTTAACATGGAGGAGGAGAGCCAATGACATGTTCATATTTTTCTGAAATACTGTGGCTTGATTTGAGCCATGGAGTGATGTTTTTTTGTTTTGTTTTACTACCTTAAGTGGTTCAGGTATTTCAAATATAACATGTTGATAGAATTGTGTTGGTGATCAAGGGGTGAGAGAAAGCAAGTTTTTTAAGGAATGGTGATGCTTCTTATTAGACCATTAGCTGTAAGTGGATAAAAACAAACGGTATTTCAGGCATCAGAACCTGGTCTGGGCCTAAAATGAGAGCCACAAGCTTAAAACTAAGTCAGGTGGAACAGTTGGTAAACATAGATGTAACATTAGTATCGATTTAATATTAAAATCTGCCAGACAGAATCTGGTAATCTTAATTTAGAGTTCTTAACTGGACAGGAAGAAGAAGATTTGATACTGCATTTCTTCTTTTATATCTAATTAACTGAGGAATTTTAATCCATATGTTTAGTCATTCTATTTAGCTTTTTTAATTATTTTTACAGTGCAGCAGATGCACTTCTGAAACAGCTTCTAGTTCCGCTCTTTCTGGCTAGCAGCTGGTGAAGTAGCCAGAGACTGACTTGACTGCTTTACATGACACTTGGGAAGCTCAGATGCAGGCTTTTCACCCATACAGTTTTAAGGATGCTACCAATGACTTCTACATTAAAGAAATTACTGGGGGAATTTTTTAAAATTTTCCTGGCATTTTTTAATTTGAGACTTCACACAATATATATTTGATATGAAGTTCTTTATTGTACTTTATCTATTTAGGTTTACAAATATTGCTCCTTTTTATTGAAATTCTTGCATCAAGATAGTGGCTGGGAAGTTCTAGTACTTCCCTTTTGAAGTAGATCTGAAAAGTTCCCAGGTACCATGTTGAAAAGTTAAGGATGAACTTTGAGGTCAATATTCCTTTTTGCTGTACTTGGGTTTTTTTCCCCTAATTTTCAGGAAGGAAAGTTGGGTTGCCTTTTCATGTTTTGTAATTCAAGATACTGAAAGTATACTGACCCTATCACACCCAATGGTCTAAATATGTAGTAGTTTATTTGATAAGTTCCTGGCTTAAGTCTATATTTGCTGGCTTAAGTGTATATTTGTCCACTGTGCAAGTTTAGTATTCCTGTGTCAACACGGTTTTGGCAATAATTCTGTAGTTATGTATTAAGTACTTGATTCGTCTTGGTATATAATTAAAACTATATGTAAGCGGTATTCTGCTTTTGACGACTATTCTATATAGTATGTCAGGAATAGCATTTACTTTAAAGAACGGTGTTAAGCGCATGAAAAGCGTTACTGCAGCAAGGATGCAAAGTCTGGGTAGGCAAAAGGGGAATTAACCTCCTGAGGGCAAAGACTGTTTCTTTACATTCATGGAGCTCTTAGCCCAGCAGGGTACTGAACCCTACATGTACAGTAATAATTGGTACCAGTAATATCTGTGTACTGCTGTTTTCCAGGTCTCTAGCAAGTGCAGGAAAAGAACTCAAGGATAACTTTTTGCGGGCGCTGGCTGAAAGAGAGGAAGCCAATCGTACTGGAAGAATATCTGTGAGTACCCATGAGTTATGGTTTTCTTAATAGCCTAAAAAGGAATCTTTTCTGAAATGGAAAATGAGGTATTTAACCTGAAGGTTGTGTGTGGAACATTTTGAAAAGATGGAGAGAAATTCTTTGGAACTTTGAGACTTATTGATGTTAGTTTATTTAAAAGCAAAATAAAGTAAAAATTGCCTAAAAACTCACAAGCAGGTAGGTGGTGGAGTGAAGGATACGAGAGAAGAACCTCTAGTGAAGAACATTGTGGTTTCATAAGAACTTGTGGGTTTCTCTCTTCCAAAATGCACTGCCATGTGGACTTTAAATAGAGGAAGATGCAGTTTGCTAATGAAGAACATGTTTTTGAAATACGTTAACGTTGATGGTATAGGAATTGCACTGCTGAGTTTGGTGCAAGGTACTTGAGGTGTTGATCCTAATACAGGAAAGGCTTATGAACGTGGCTGTGGGCCTCCTGACTCAGCTGGCTAACAAAGTTGGCTGTGTCCTTGGCCAACCAGGGTCTTATTTGCCTGGGTTAGTGCTGGCAGTGGCTGTGCTTTCGTTGCCCGCAGGTACGTAGGTGAGCTCTGGGGTGGCATTGCTGAGGCTCACAGCACTGCTTGTAGGGATCACCCAGATCAGCGGCCGTATCCTTAATAGGAAGGTGGACCTATATCCTACGCTCACCAACAGCTTTGGTCTTGCGTGGGGAAGAGCTTGTGCCAGCTTGCTGTACAAGGAGGGAGTTGAGAATTCCAGGCATTCAGCTCTGTTTCCATTTAAACTTCATAATGGGATGGAAAAGAATCAGAAGCGGTCCTGCACATCTTGCTGCTGTGTATGGAGTAAAGCGGTGCTGTTCCTTGCCACCTTTACAGGATAGCATGTCTGTGTTAGTGTCCCTCTCATCCAAAAAAGAGGGGAAAAAAAAGGTAGCAAAAGCAATAAGCATCTGGAAGTCCAAGTGATTGTGTTCATGTTCTCTTGTTCTGTTTGCTTAGGAAGTCAGTCAGGCACACAGTGATTTTTGCTTTCCTTTGTCTCTCATAACTGAAGTAAAACAATAACTTCCTTCCCTGTGTAGTTCTAGGATCAATATTTGTCCTTTTCTGGTTAGCTGATTAACCTCTACAATTTGCAGAGGAAATGCTGTATGCAGTCTGATTCCAAAACATATGTGAGCAAGATTGCTCATGAAGCTTCAAATACCTCGTGGTTTCAGCTGGCTGACAAATATCACAGAAGCTGTGTGCTTCTTGGGTTATTTAGGGATTCCTACAGGAGCTGGATGATGCAAAAGGTTAAAAAGCAGAGCAGAAACAAAACAGGGTGGAAGATATCAAAAAAGACATCATTTAGGCTAGAAAATGGAAGCAACTTGTGATTTGCTTCAGAAATTTACCATGACTTTTAAAAAGATGCAATTTTTAGTTATAGCAATTACTCTTCGCTTTCCCTTTCTGGCTGTAGCTCTTGGGGCCCGCTATAACGAAGCTGTAATTTCTTAATTTTACAAGGAGGGACACTACCGAGTTGAACAGTATTCTGGGCAAGACTCAGTCGGTGCTAATAGAGCTGACTGGCCTTAGGCAGAGGGAGAAGGGCTGAGCCCAGCACTTGAGTGAGACTGAGATCTCCCTGCAGGTCACTTCTGAGAAGCCCAGAGCACCGTCCAGGAGGAGGAGAACCTCTCTTCCTCCTCATGGTGCCAACAAGGTGCCATGTCAGACAGGAGATGGGAAATGAAAGGTGGTTTTCTGCCCTCAGAGAGGGTCCAAGGCACTGGAAAGGGGTGCAGTCGCTGTTAGCTTCCCAGGATAAAGGATTTGTTGGGGATCACACAGCAGCATTCCTGGAGCACCTGAAATTGGATCCAGTGCAGCCAAGGAGCTCCTGGAAGCTTCCCCTAGAGCTTCTGCTCCTTGGGGGAGACTCAGTACTGAGAAACCTGGACAGGAGAAGGCACTAGAGGTTTATACACTTAAAAAGATATTTCAGTCCCTTTAATCCGCTAAACCCATGCTATACCTCATGCTCTATGATTTGGTTTCCTGTTCAGCTCCTGTCTTGTATTGTTTCTATTCTACTTATGCTGCAGAGAAGATTGCCACAAGGTGGGCAGTCGCTGCAACTGTCTTAAACAGAGCTTGGTACATAAAGGGCTTGGGAGGGTAGGAGGGGAAGAGAAAAGACCATCTGTTTTTCTTTGCTAGATATGGCCCTACTTCTGTGCCAAAGGCCAGCTCCTTGTTAGTCAGCCTCTCCTATATGCAAAATATAGGGTCAAATGTTTCCCAAAACATCTGATCTCCAAAACACAATGATTGCACACCCTTGTTTATTAGTAAGTCTACTCAACCAGGTGATCCAGAAAAGCCTGTAAGAGGAATAAGCAGCATGTGGTACTGGACAGTTTTGAGAAATAGACAGGGAGGGGGCAGGATAAGGTAACAATTCCCTAGTGCTGATTTCCAAAGTGCTTTGATCAATAACACTTCACCTGAAATGAAGTGTTCTGAGTCTTATCGTCGGATATGTTCTGCAGGCAGACGCTTCCCTACTTCTTTACACAGGTGCATGTTTACCCTATCTAGCCCTCACCTATACCCTGGTATGTATTAACATACCAACTTCTCGTTGGTTCAGGGTGACAAAGGGCCCAGTATATGTCATGGTTTGTTTTTTAAAAAGCATCGGGAAGTTATGCAATGCTCAGGAACTTTTTTTTCTTTTTAATCTCAGAGCAAGGCTCACAGTTATTGTGTGAATACCTCAGACTGACCTGGGCAGAGAGGAGTGGCATTGTGGCAATGCACCTGCAGAGGCAGAGTATAGCATAAAATAGAGGGTGCTATTGGGTATAGCATAAAACATACACCCAATTCCATTTCTCTAGAAAGCATAGTATCAGATAAAGGAAAACTGGTATTTCCTCAAAGCAGGCTAATCAAATATAAAAGCACATGTTCTCTGCTTCTGCTGGTGGGTTGTCTTGAACCTGATGGCCAGAGAAAGCAAATTGACTGTGGTAGTTTTCCTTATGCTTATCTCTAGCTTGAGAAGCTGATGAAGAAGCAACAGTTAATATCATCACATTCATTTTTTTTCTAATGATATGTAGTAGCAGAAAAAAATCCTTCAGGATTAATTGCAGCGTGTTGATTGTAGGCTATTCAAATTGCTTAAAAATTGCATGATTAGATAGAATGGGTTTTCCTTGGGAAATTTACAGAATATTTAGATAGGAAGAACTTGACAAGGGAAAAGAAATATATGAAAGCAGAGAGCATGTTGTATAATAGATCAATTGTATCATTTTACTGACATAACAGCTATAAATGACTGCAAATTTCTCATGCAGGAGCAAGTGGTCGTATTTCAGATCAGCTGACAGCAAGGAATGTGGCATGTTGTTTGGGTGGCTGGAACTGTCTTCAGAAGTCCTCTGAGTTCACTCGAAGTGCTGATCAAAATACATAATTTCCTTCATTGCATGGTGGGTTGGATGGACATAGGCTGTAGTCTTTGCTGAATGCGACCCAGGGTAGTGAAAATTATTTAATTTTTTTCACTAGGTATCTTAAATACGTTAAAACCAGTAAGGAAAAGCAATCCTAGTGGGAAGTTTAATATTCCAAATGTATTTATAAAGCCAAAGCAGATAGACATTGGGGTTCAGCCTAACATATCTGTAACAAGAGGATGAGTTAAAGGCTAGAACATGAGATGAAAAATATCCACTGTGGCCTAGGAGCTTGAAGAAACAAAATCCTCAGTAGGAAGAGAACTCCTTGAAGTGATTAATGCTCTATTGAATCACCTCAGAACATCCCAAAACTGGAAACAATTTGTTTTCCTGGAGTAGCTCTGCTCCATCACTTCAGAGCACTTTCTCAGCATCAGGGTGCTTACATGGATATACTTTAGCAATCCGTATAGGAAATGTTTCTGAATGTATTTTTCTGTTTTTAAAGAGTGTGACAGAGGTGAATGCCTAAGCTGTGGATGGAAAAGTTTACATGGCGATCCAAGGATTTACTAATATTAGGGGGCATGGAGGAATTTTGATGAGGGTGACTGACATGGAATATAAGTCCTGTTTTGGCAGGAGAGATGTAATCTGGCTTCAGAGACGGGCATAGTTTGTTTTGCATTTAAAATTGTAAAATATCAATGCAAAACTTGTAATTCAGATCATGAAGTGCTAAGTTTACCTTATATGTGTATGTGTTTTTTAGCTTGTCTTTCTGTAGGATCCTGGTACCAAATAGGGCAGCTGGCTGCTAGTTTTGCAGGGAAGCTGAGATCAAAGTGGCCATGCCTCTATAGAAGTTGTTGCCTATTTGGGCACCGTTGAGTTAAATGGAGCCAAAACCCCAGCTGCTTTGTATGTGCGCTGCCCGATTTCAGTCTTCCTACAGACAGTGCTATTGAATGGCATGAGAGTGTATTAAATATGAATGAGGAACTTGGGTTCCACGCTGCTCTCTCTCTGCTTCTGCTGTAAACTGAGATCCTGCTGTATTAAAGTGGACCAAATGAATTTCATCCTCAGCCTCTTTAGCATTTTAAGCAGTAGCAGGTTCTTTTACAGATGTAAACCTAAGCCTAGCAGGTGCTGGAGAAGTTAAAACAGATGGCGCACACAAGATGGTCCGTCTTGATGGCCCATCTATCTTTTGGAAGATATTTTTTGTAATTTTTGGGCCCCCATGACCCTTTCTGGGTGCCTATTCCTCAAACAGTCCCAAAGAACCTTGTCATTTCCCCATAAATAACTAATAACCCATTGTTTTATTTGGAAAAACTATTTTCCAGAACAATTTGTGTGCATTTGAAGAGCCTTTTAGCATTCACATTTAAATGCCCTCCCTTGGTTCTTATTTCAGGTAGACTTTGTTTTGTAATATTACTGCAAGACAAGCAAGAAATCTTAAGATATGTGAGTAATCTCTGTGAACTGTAATGGTACTGATAGAAAAATGGTGATACTTTCTTCAACCTTTTTTTATTTCTTTCTTGATCACTGACTTAAAAGCATTAGTGCCTGTGAAAACGATCATTTTCAGCCCTTGACCCCTTATGGAAGGGATATTTCATTTTTTATAGCTGTGGATAATCCAACCCAAGGATCTGGCTGCCTAATGCAACCAAGCACAGTGACTTTCACGTTGGAGATGATAACCTCAGGAGGCAGCAGCAGAGAAAGGCAAAAGGGGGCAGTGCATGGAAACCTGCAGTGGCAATGAATGAAATAAACAGTCATTCTGTCAACAGCTCATTTCTTTTGCTCAAATCAGCTAATGGTCTGATAAGTGAGACTCTGTGAAAACCAGCTGTAAGAAAGGACATTGAAAGCTTTCTTGAAAGAAGCATAATAAGACAGCTGGAACGAGAGCTAATAGGCCTTAAGAGATATTTTGATTTGTTTATTTTAATGTAGAATATGCAATATTTGTAAATAATTTCTGCCTCAGCATCCAAGGGATTGGCCACCTTGCTTGTTAATGTGAACAGCTTTATAGCTGCATTTTCTACATACCTGTAGACTGTTGGATTTCATTAGGAATGGTGTTTGTTGCCAGGAGTGATGATAGCTGATCTACAGACTCCCGGCGATTGAATGTTTACTGCCTGAGCTCCCTGGTACGATGCTTTTGAACCCCAAGTCATGCAACTGTTATGTGGCTTCTTGCAAAGCGCTCAGTGACCTAGCAATTCCAGCCATTGCTTAACTAACCAATACTGCAGATGCTTGCAGTCTGATCCGTATTTTGGGTTGTAGAACCATCAGTGACTCCAGCACACGTGCGATGTTCACCTCCAAGTCATTTCTGTTGGGCACAGAGGTCAACCACAGGCCTCAGCTGAAATACGTATGTCCAGGACTGAAGCAAACAGCCTCAGATTTTATATGACTTGTTGCAGCTCCAAAAGCTTATTCTACCACTCTCTGAAAGAAACGTTGGTGTGGGGCTGCCTTGCAGATGTAGCCAGGTATCAGCAGCCTGGTGAGAGCTGATAGATGAGGGCTTGGAACAGGACTGGAGCCTGTATACTGTGTACAGCAAGCTGCATGTGTTGTTGCTGGCAGGTGTTACATTTTTTTGGAAACTTGCATATCTCTTAATTAGTCTTTAGATGTGATTTAAAATATGCTGCTTGTGTTGTTTTTTAATTTTCCTCTTTTCAGGGAAAAATGACAAGTAATAAAATGGGTTCAAGGAAATGTAGCATCTTGGAGGATCACATTTGTATGCTTAGGAAAAGCAGCTGTATTTTAAGAAAAAGGATTATTTTTTTTAAGCTCAGCTTAGAGTAAGGGTGTGATTTTTTTACTCCCTGTTTGCCCTAACTTATCAGTGCTTTCCTCAGACATAGTTTCTTGTTTGCAAAACAGAAATATGAGAATCCATTGGCTTCAAGTCTCTCCTAGTCTCCTTTTCATTCCTAGTGTTGCATGATTTCATTTGCATCCTGTAAAAAGTGTGTTCTCAACTTTTGGTTAATACTGCACTGCTGAAGTGTCAAGGGAAGATGGGATACAGAGAAGGTTACTCCAAAAACGAGAGCTTTTAATTCTGCCCCGTTCCTGGTAAAACATCTAAGAAGCTGCATGAGAAATTGAGACAAAGTGGTGAGAGCAGAATTGGGCTGCTGTTGTTCTATGCCATGTTTGCAAATGTTTGCCTCATTTTCAAGGTGTGGGTTTTACATCTCCAATGCTTACAAGTTTCATGGAATCTGTTATCTTTCCTGTTATGTAGCCATGGGGTATGAAAAGGAATGTAACTTGTTTTTCCATCTCTTTTCACGCTAATCTACGTCTGCTATCGGGTACTCCAGGGTTTTCAGCAGGGTAGGGATCTTGTAGATGACCTTGCAGGTTGGAACAGGAAGCACATAAGGCTCCACCATGCTTATAACAGCTCAATGCTACGAGTTTTGAAGCAAAGTGAAGATATTGTGTTGCTTGTGGATAAATAATGCCTTATTGTGTTGTTAGATCCAATATAAGCATCTGACATAAGCATCCCAAAGATGGTAAGTTATGAAGTTTTGTTGCAAGTGTTTGAAACGTTATTTGACTGCAGTTTGCCCTAGAGAGCAGGGTGTTTGGTGGTGTCTGCGTGAGCTTCGCAGCTGCCTGGGCAAAACCCATACTGGTGCCTTTACCTAGGAAATAGTTTTCACTGTGAATAGCAAAATTGTAGCACCACATAGAGAAATGAACTATCTAGAAGAGACCTAAGGAAAAAATGTGTAATTTTCAATTTGACTGTTAATCTTCAAAAGGAAACAAATCTAAATCTCAAGACTATTTGTAAATATTTCAGCTCATATTTAGAATAGTGTCACAGGGTCCAATCCTTGTACTAGAAGCTGCATAGTTAGGAGAGCTGATAATGGTTTTTGGCTGCTATCCTGTGGAGAAGGGAAAGGGAGGCATTTTTGCCTTTAAGAGATAAAGAAAATTGTTTCTCAGCATGCCATGAGCTCTTTGCAGCGGTGCTGGGATAGGCTCCTCTGCTGACAAAGCCGTTGCAGGACCACTCTGTGTATTCAGTGCTCAAGAAACGGCTTGTGACAGGATTGGAAAGACTTGGGACCTTTTAGCTTTCACAGAGCTTGTAGACAGCGGCTTAAATTGTCAGAAAAGAAAACCTTGGCCCTCGCATGCTTAGTTTTCTTTCCTATTTTTATGCCACGCCATCAGCATCACCACTCTACTGAGGGAAGCACAAGTGAGCTTTTCCAGTTCGGCCTGCCTGGATCACAAACTGCGACGCAGAAAAATAAACAGCACCACTTGAAAGTCAGAGCTACCTTACTGAATGTCCTCTAGGCATGTATCTTGGCATATCCACACCTGATAATTATGCACGTATTGCATAAATGCCAAATAAAACAATGCAAGTGAAGACAGACTGTAAACCTAAAATATACAAGGTAGAAGTCTCCCTCCCTCTCACTCCCCCTCGGTCTTGGCTTAAAAAGGAGAGAACCAGATCATCAGATGTGTTTTTTCGTTCTGTTTTGCTTTCTAAATCTATGCACGTTTCTTGAATGTTCAAGTTACCTATTTTTCACATCACTGCAGCTTTATGGGTGGTTCCATTTGCACTGTGAGAATGCTGTGAGACTTCCCTGGGAACTGGACGGTAGAGTTTAATGGCAGTATCTGGACTCATAAATGGATGTGTAGTTTGAATGTCTAGTGGCCTGGGCAAGGTGACAACTGGTTATTAACTCTTGTATAAAATGGAAATGGGCTTTCTTGGAAGTCTGAAGAAACAGGTTAGAAGCTCGTACATACCGGTGTCTCAGGCCAAAGTTCTTGATGTGCAGTGAGATGTTATCTGTGACGTAACTTTGTGGCACTAGGTGGTCAAATAAACAAATCCAGGCAAAGAATAATGTGTAAACTACTGGAGATGGTATCATAGAATCATAGAATGCTTAAGGTTGGAAGCGACCTCTAGAGATCATCTAGTCCAACCCCGTACACATGCAGGGTCACCTAGAGCACGTGGCACAGGACTGCATCCAAGCGGGTTTTGAAGATCTCCAGAGAAGGAGACTCCACAACCTCTCTGGGCAGCCTGTTCCAGTGCTCT